GGCTACGTAGTTACAGCAATAAGAGCAGGCGAATAAGCATCACTGGGAAATCGATTTCAAAGAAGGAGATAAGGTCTGGCTATTAATAAAGAACATTAGCATAACAAGACCTTGTAAGAAACTCGATTCGAAATGGATTAGGCTATTCCCTGTTGTGAAGAGGCTTAGGCAGAGTTTTCGTTTAGAACTGCCCTTATTAATAAGGATTCACAACGTGTTCCATACATTACTACTGACTAAGGACCCTGCCGACCCTTGACCCTCTGCCAGGGCAGGAGTACCCACAGCCTCTGCTAGTAGAGACAGAAGAAGAGGAGGCGTGGGAGGTCGAAGATATAGTCGACGTCAAGAGAGTAGGCAAAGCATGGAAGGTACGAGCAAGATGGGTAGGCTGGCTAGAGGACCTGACCTATTACCCTATCTTAAACTTCAAGGGCTCTGAAGACCTGCTTAAGGACTATTTCAAAAGGCACCTAGCGAAAGAGGTGCCTAATTAATTAATTTAAGGCGGAGTATAGAAAATCTAATAGGGATGTCACGTAACAGATTTGGCTATATATATATAGTCAAATATTAAACTAACCAAATAAGGAATTACTAGGCTTGGCAACATTGGGATAAAAGTGGACTTGCTTTCTTATGCTCTTAATTAAGGGTAATCGATTTTTTTTTAGAGGGGGGGGTAGTGTAATGGATGATGCATTTCCTCTGCTATAGCACAGGAAATGCATGTGCTAGCCATATACTCAGGAGGCAACGCCTATAACTGACTCGCGGTAGCAAGCAAACTCCTGCCGTGGGGCGCTTGTCAAAGCGTGTAAGCTATCCGGACGGATTACGAATAGAGAGGTTCGCCTTACCCGATTAGGGAAGCCTAAACTTCACTATACAGCAGGAGGCCGGATTAGGAACTATGAATGCTCTGTGGCCTATGGCGTGGCCCACGCACACACAGGCCTCACCCGCTGGCGTTGGAGTATATAAATCTGTGCATGGCCACATTGTAGATAGATTCTCCAGCTTTCGTTTTAGCAATCTATGGACTATTGACTTGTTCTAGTTTCGAGCCATTGCACCTTAGAGGTAATGGGAAGTGGATGAGTGGAATTCTATCTACCTGCAGAATCTATCTCTAGAAGGAGGAGAGGCTAATACTACTGCGCAGAGTGCGGTCACGTGACGCCAAGGATTTGGCTGTACGCGTACGGCCAATTCCAACAAGAAGGTGCCCTGCCCTTATCCTGTTACATGGGCCGAGTTTCCTTGGCGGGTTCTTAGCAAATTAATAGGCAAATTAAGATTAAGACTACCCTAACTAGATTTAGCTTTATTTTTCTTTTTATAAAAGTTTCTAATACGGTAGGAGACATAATGTTTGTCAATACAGAGCTAGTAGTGACTAGTTCTGATACGAGTCCACAGATAGCTAAAAAGTAGTCGAAAAGCTTATCCCCTCCGTCCCTGAACAGGGGTGTAGAATGGTCCAATTAGCGCTGTCGATCACTACGAAGGGCACAAAATATCAACAAACGTCTCTTTTGGGCGAATTGTGGCCATTCTTTCTCGCAATTAACTCTAATTGAGTGGTGATATTGTTGCCAACAGCTTCCTTTGATACAGAGCCAAATTTGGCACTTGCTGCATTTGAAATAGGTCCTTGACCCACCAGAAATAGCCTTATTTGCGCCATTTACAGCTGTTTCTGTGATATTTGTTCCGAATTTGCGCTTGAGAGCCCTTTTGCGTACACAGCCAGGCTTGTGAAGCTTTCCCTATTCGCACTGACTGTGAGTTTTCTCTCGCACGTGTTTATGGTGGTGTTGAGAGACTACCGTGGGTAAAGGCTAGGATTATTTCTCCTCTTTCGGATTATTCGAATATAGTAATTAGTTGTACAGAGCGCTTATAAAGGTCTTATGAGTATCGTGATTCTGCGCGTTATTACTTTATTTCTATAGTAGATACGCATTAGTATAAGTAATATTAAGAAGAAAGAAAAATAAGGGCTACTATATTTGATAATTCTGCTTATAATAACATGTAAAACTCGCGCATAATTGATTAGCTTAGTCTACGCCCTTTATATAGTGGTTATATTTATTAATAGCTGTTGGAATAAAGAGCTTTTTGAACGATTAACTATTAAAAATAAGCAGTAGAATTCATTGATTTTCAGACGTTATTTTTAGGCATCTTCGCGTATACTGAACTTTATCCTTAACTCTGTAGAGGCTATAAGCAGTTAAAATAGCGCTAATAGCCTTATTATCTTGCTAAATAAAGCAGAGAATATTATTATTAATAACCTCTACTATTATAGAGTCCTATAGTAGCTTATTTTGCTTAAAATAACTCTAAAGATATAAAGGAAATCCGTCAGTCTTTTTATGTATTATACTTATATAATAAACCCTTATAATTAATAGGCACTATATAATAGGTATATTTAAAAACAGATTATCTAAATAAACACAGAATTTAAGCTGTTTTAGAAGCTGTTTAGCTAAGCGTAAAATAAGCACAAATATAAGTGTTAACAGAGTGCGCTTAGCACCTATAGAGCGCAGGCATAGCCAGCTTATTTTTATTCTCTTCTTAAGCGTTTTAACTCTATCTATTTTAGAGTAAAATAATCAGCTTCAAATATATCTATGATTACTAATATACTATAGCTTATAGCCTATATTAATAGGCTTGTTCTTTAGCTTAATTATATGCTTTAAACGGCCTGTAAAGGCAACTATAGCCTTATTAATAGCGATATAAGAGGAGGGATAAAAGGAATTTTGATAAGTAGTTCGAATAAGGTCAGCTATGCGTTGAATTCGATAAAACTAGGGTGTATTTGGAGGCGCAGGAGCACTATTTGTACTGAAAAAGCGATAAACAAGTTCGAATCGATCTCGACTCATAAATTGACCTAGATTATATAGTTTCTAATAATCCGTTCGTACTGTCAAATAGTATAAGTCAAAATGGAGATTTATCCCTATAAATACACGTATTTCTGCCGGCGTAGTAGGTACCCAGTGACATTTCTTAAGGAAAGGAGGATTTTGTAATTTGAACGCGGCGTATTTGTTGGTTTCTTCGGAGAGGATTTCCACCACGAAATCGCTAAAAAAGAGCTGAAAAAAGCCCAATTCAGATAGATTAGTGTATCGAGAAGCTCCTGCTCGATTTCGAACGTAATTGGCCTCAAAATGAGGGAGTTCTGTTGAAATGAATGTCGAGGGTTCATCTGCGCATTCTGGCGTCGGGGCAATCACTGCCAAGGCTTGATCGATTTTATTTCGATCAACGCTTTTGGAGCCAATTTTTGACCGTTTTGACTGGTTGTTGTTTCTGTGTATTGACGGAGGTGAGTTATCTCTGTATCTCAGAGGAATTTGCGTATTTCGCTGTGGTCGTAGCATAGTAAGTGGCTGAAAATTTATTTATAAAAAGCGCAGTGGAAAGCTGTGACGCTCATATGCGGCTAAAAAACCTTATTCTGCGCCAAGACGCTAATTGGACCACCCAGGGACGGAGGGGATAAGATCAAACAGCCATAAAAACAAGTCCACCTGCTCAGATTAACCCATCTGTGGATTAGTGCTACTTAGCCTCGCTTGTTTGATAATTGTTTTGGTCCAAAGATACTAGTGCGGAGGTGACAAACATTATGCCTCCTACCGTAGTATATTTCTTGAAATTCAAGATGTAGAAATATTCAGAATTTCAACAGCTATCGCAACTTATTCTCCTCCTAACCTCGCTAGAATCCATCAATTTGCTCCAAACCATTGCATTATCAGCTGTTTCTGTTTGACGACGCGGCGCCAGCAATTCTCGATATTTATAGCGCCAAGGATTCGCAAGACTTTCGCAATGCACAGTACTATATTGTTGTGTCTGCTGGCTGAAACTTCTACCAACTACATCTAGACACTCTACCGTTGTTTGCCCATACGATACTAATGAAACTAAGTACGAAAGGACAGTCCGAGGCCTCGTCAAAACATTGCTGTCAACTTGAATTCCCTGATTGCTTCGCTCATCTCTGCAAGCATGAATGCTCTGGACCGCTTCACTTTTGGAAACACCTGGAATCAAACGCAATCGCCTTCACGCCTTTCCTGCTACTTATAGAACTTTAGTTCGTCTTTCGTGGGGGATCTCTCATAAGTCTCACCGTTTCCTTATCCTCTATGATTAGTGTTTCTTTTTGCATGAGCTGCTATGCGCGCGGTTGGGAACGGAAAGAGTGCTCTTCATTATGCTGCGATCAAACACTCCAAATGGATTTTCAGGGGCCGATAGCACAGCTATGGTTGACACGTTCACAGGACAAGATAGAGGAGGTGTAAGGGTCTGCCACAAGGCCTAAACGTCATCCTCCAACACAACAACGCCTCCTTTCAAAGGTAGCGACACACATCACAACCACTTCTTCCGTGTTTTGATCATTAGTCACTCAATACCAGATATGACCTAGCGTATGTTTCCGTCGGCTTCTCTCCGATCCATACCAACATGATTGGAAAACCTATCTCGATTGAGACGCTGCATGCAGGTGAGGTAGCGAGTCCACATATGGTATTGACGACTCATTCAAAGTATACTTCCGGCGTATCTGAGCGGATGATGACGACACTTTGACCCATGCCGATATGTGTTTGCCATTCTGCATCTATTATGTCTCCAATATTTGGCCCTGCTAATCGGAACACTAGTCGGTGCGCATGGTTCTATACCATGAAGAGTACCTGTGGTTGTATTTGCTGTCAACATAAAAAGTTGTGTATAGGTGTTTTGCTCTCGGCAAGGTCCCTATATTTCGGTGGGACCCAGATGCTACCGTAAGGTTGTCATACCTCTGATCATCTCCAGCCTCTCTCCCTACATATATGTGGTAGAAAGCAGTACATGGTCTTCACTTTATACCTTAGTTTGCCTTCACCACTTTCGTTGCCGTTTAGACGCCTTTCGCGAAATATTTCGATACCACATCCAGAGCCATGGCGTTCATCCAACCCAGGGTCGTCTTCCGGATGGAGCCGGAGAAGCCAGTCATTCTGCAAGCACTCCGGAACATCAGCTATGGGCATGCTATGCAAGAGTCAGAGATTGCTGCTATCAGAACATCTCTTCAAAACGTTTTGGATTGGATCATGCCAGCCCTGAAATTAGCCACGCCCAATGGCTCAGCCTTTTTGAGCTGCTTTAAGAGCAGTACGAACTGGCCAGTTGTAATGGGTATGTGATCATTCGTGCTCGTTGCGGAGCTTCAGTATGAGCTTCTCGGCCAACTGACAAATATCTAGCAATTCTGAGACGATGTGAGGCTGTTATCAAGTACTGTCTCGGACATGATGGCATGGAGTATGTCCAACAATGGCTGGGGACCGTGCGAATCATTAAAGTGAGCCTGCATAGCTGATCGATGTGGAGTTTCGCATGTGCTGATAAGTTGCGCCAGGGCAACGCTCCTAAAGCATTAAGGAAGAGTTGCAGATTCGCTGCTGCTCAAGCTGAGAAGACAATTTGGCTTTACGAAGACTGGTGGGAGGCACCCAGCCTGCGAAACACAAGCGGCGTTCGCCCCAAAAAGGGCCATGGTCCTAAAATTGTTGATGCTCTTTTGAATGCTTTCATGCAGACCAAGGAGGGGACCCTCCTCCATGAAGTCAGTACGCTGTCTCAGTTGTCCTTCCGCCGCTAATCAGTTTTTCTAGGTTGAGCATCTGTCAAGCATAGGACAGATGAAGCGGCTATTATCTCTGGCCTATCCGCATGGTAGACTACCAGCTATGCTGTGGCGCGGTCGAGACGGCGTAATCGATGCAGTACTACATGAACATGTGAACATGAAGATTCTGGTGCGTTCAGGCTCATTGCACCCAGTTTCCGATTGTACTGATCGCGTGTCAGAGCGAGTCCATCATAAACGCAAAATATTGTCGACATGGGAAGGGAGGAGACGCCGAATGGGAAGCGGCATATGATCTCGATGGTGTGCGTGACTGGGCATGTCTTGAAAGAGGCGATTTGGCTAGCGTGCTAAACGCCGACTCCTACAACGCATTCGCAGCCAGTACGTCCGTATGATGTTGCTATCAGCGTTCGTCACTAACGTTTTGATAGTGACGCTTATGCAGCGAGTGGAAAGCACTTTCGCGAATGCTCGGAACAATCTGGCGGAGAGGGTGGACATTCCCAATCTTCACCACACCGCAGCCAATGGGCTGCGACAGGCCGTTTTGAGAAATGCGAGTGGAGAGAACCTCGCCCTTAAAGGAGATAAAGCAGTGCGAGACAAGCAAAGTCAGCCGAAGTATAGTTGTCTGCATTCAATCGCAGCTCGGAATCGGGATGGTCGTTTTTCTGATCTTCATTGTTGGCCAACTCCGAGAGAGGCAGCTACTCAATATTTTTGTTTTCGCAAGCGGCGCAGGAGAGCTTATGGGTATTGATGGTATTGAAAATTGTGTGCCCGGTCGGTCCTTTGATCCAAGATATCGGAATTTGTCTGGCAAGTGTCACGGGGTGAGATAGACAATCATGCATGTTCAGTCCTTAACTCTTTAGAGAAGTTCTTGTATTCGATGTAACGTGTCCACATGCGAGAGCGAGGTTTCCCGACGAAGATTGAAGTATTGGTCGAAAAGAGCCAAGTTGTGGGTTAAGGTGCGATTCTCAATTGATCTCATGTGACAAACGCCAACAGCTTGACGATGTCGCGGGAGAGAGTTGCCCAGAGTTCGAGTCGGCCAAACATTTTCATGGCCATCTCACTATGTTGCCGCCAGTCGGCTGTTTGCGAAATTTGGCATTAACATCACTATTAAAGGTTGTAAAGCGTATCAATCCGAGTGTCGTAGATAGCTGTTGACATCCGATTTACCATCTACGTCTAGCACATGAAGGTCTGCTGGCGATGTAAGCTACATCCTTTAATCACTAGGAAGACAATGATCACATAGGTCATGACCAAGCGTCAAAGAACGGTGTTGGATGCTCGATTCAAAGCTCAGCTACTATCTATGATCTGTGTCATAATGACAACTTCGAACGGTATGAGAAAGACATGATTACCATGCTCGTGTATTTGACTCCTCCAACAGCTTCTGTGCTCCTCCAATACCTTAACGGGCTTCAGCCTTAGCGTCATGGGCATCAGCCTTAGCCTAAAGAATTATTAGCAAAGCTACAGTCGTTGGATGGTGGTGGATGTACCTCGTGGGACTTCTGATCTTTCTTGTCAACAACATATTCTTTGCCGGCATTGAGTTGATCTTTAAGACCGAGACCAGGAGCATTCCCCTTGAAGGCCTCTGCAGGTATTGTCAATAGATTACATGAGATGTGATGCTACCACTAGTAGTTTACCTTTGTCTGCTTCGGCGTTGGCCTCGGCACCCTTGCCCTGGACTGTTTCAACCGCTTTATTGGCTTTGTCCTTGAGGTAATCCATTGCCGCTGATTGTGTTGTTGAGGTGGTTGATGTTGGTAGAAGTCTGACTTGGAATGCTGGTTGCACTTGGTTGAGTCAAAGGTGAATATGGTGGTTGTAGGAAGGAGAATTCCCAGCAAGAGGCCGCAACTTTATAGTAGATGAATGTTTGAGTCACAAGGACCCTTGAAAGTGAAGATGGACGGGCAGTTGCGGTGACGTAGCCCAAGGTTGCTTGGCAGATAGTTAAGCATCTGCTGATAGCCCCTCACCTCACATGTTACGCTAGCGTCACTTCAGCACTAGTAGAATGCCTACGCTAACCCAAATAATTGTAGTGACGCAGGAGTAGCACGGACAAGCATGAACTGACGTAGCGGAAGATGTCTAATGTTTCATCTCGCACTGCCTCATTGGTCTCCCCCACGTTTGCAGATCACAGTCTGTCCTTGTGACGCAATCAAGCATTGCGCGTCTACCTTAGCCTTGTTGCTGATCCTCAGCCTTACTCAACTAGCTCCTTCAAATTTCCCCTTCGGACCTTCGTTCGGCATGTGCTGCTGGTACCTGAGATAATAGCTGGAGGCGCAACAAAGACCAAATTTTCCCATTCCGTCGATCATTGGTCTCTAGGATCTGGACCTTCCATTTCGAATTCCGAGCCAATGACTTTCCATATGCTCCCAAGCTAGCAGCATTGCTGACATTTAGAGGTCACGAGATGACGTTGCCGGAAATCGAGGACAATCCACTCACGGGCTCGATCGGAGCCCGCGAACAAACCCCTCAGGCCTCGATGGCTGTGCCTCCATCTGAAAAAGCGCTCAGAGAAATAGTCCTAGCACGAATACCAAGCTGCTCAAACATCAGCTGCCGCACGGTCCGTACTTAGTGATGAGGTGGATGAACTGAATTATCTATCTGCAGATTCTATCTTTAGAACTATTTGCTTTAAATTAAACAAGATGTAACTTTCTTAGAAAAAAAAGGATAGAAGGATAGAAGGATAGAAGGACAGAAGGATAGAAGGACAGAAGGATAGAAGGACAGAAGGATAGAAGGACAGAAGGATAGAAGGACAGAAGGATAGAAGGACAGAAGGATAGAAGGACAGAAGGATAGAAGGACAGAAGGATAGAAGGACAGAAGGATAGAAGGACAGAAGGATAGAAGGACAGAAGGATAGAAGGACAGAAGGATAGAAGGACAGAAGGATAGAAGGACAGAAGGATAGAAGGACAGAAGGATAGAAGGACAGAAGGATAGAAGGACAGAAGGATAGAAGGACAGAAGGATAGAAGGACAGAAGGATAGAAGGACAGAAGGATAGAAGGACAGAAGGATAGAAGGACAGAAGGATAGAAGGACAGAAGGATAGAAGGACAGAAGGATAGAAGGACAGAAGGATAGAAGGACAGAAGGATAGAAGGACAGAAGGATAGAAGGACAGAAGGATAGAAGGACAGAAGGATAGAAGGACAGAAGGATAGAAGGACAGAAGGATAGAAGGACAGAAGGATAGAAGATCATTCTGTAAATTCTGCGCATTCTGCGTGCGCATTCTGCGTGCGAATTCTGTACGCTCTTTCTGCGCATTCTATGTGCGAATACTATGCACTTTCCGTGCATTCTGATTTTTGATGGGGTACAGCTTGGCAAAAGTCTGCAGCCTTGGCAAGCTACTACAGGCCACATTAAACTCAAGAAGGCAGGAAGGGGAACTTTGACCAATTAGAACAGTGATTCCCGCGGCCCGCATTTTTTAGCTTACAGCACTTTGCAGCCAATTGTTCGAGCTTGGCGGTAACCGTGCACTTTTTGCACTAAGCTTTGCAGCTTAGTGCACCGCAGCGCAACGATAGAACGCAGCGCAACGATAGAACGCAGCGCAACGATAGAACGCAGCGCAACGATAGAACGCAGCGCAACGATAGAACGCAGCGCAACGATAGAACGCAGCGCAACGATAGAACGCAGCGCAACGATAGAACGCAGCGCAACGATAGAACGCAGCGCAACGATAGAACGCAGCGCAACGATAGAACGCAGCGCAACGATAGAACGCAGCGCAACGATAGAACGCAGCGCAACGATAGAACGCAGCGCAACGATAGAACGCAGCGCAACGATAGAACGCAGCGCAACGATAGAACGCAGCGCAACGATAGAACGCAGCGCAACGATAGAACGCAGCGCAACGATAGAACGCAGCGCAACGATAGAACGCAGCGCAACGATAGAACGCAGCGCAACGATAGAACGCAGCGCAACGATAGAACGCAGCGCAACGATAGAACGCAGCGCAACGATAGAACGCAGCGCAACGATAGAACGCAGCGCAACGATAGAACGCAGCGCAACGATAGA